CCTGGCTGAACCCAGCACAACATGAGAAATCGATTATTTGTTACCGTTTGTTTTATGCTTATTTTTAATTTCAGATTTTATTCCGTTTTATATGTATAGTTCTTGTTTATTTTGTGTCCTACTAACTTTCTGAAAGCTTTTTCATGAAATACAAACTAGATGGAGGAAGAATAACAGGGCAGAGTGGGAACTGGATTCCTTGTGTTAACTAAAGTTAGTGCCGACCTGAAAGCAATAGCCGTTTTTCAACTTATGTCTGTATATATGTGTATACATACGTATGTTACAGAATGAAAAAAAGTATTTTTAACTTGCATTCACTTGTTCAGTGCCTGGAGTTGCTGCAAAAGTGGCAACCCCTTGCAAAACTAATCATTCAGCGATAAAGAATCGGACACACGTAACATTTGTTTGCACAAATTAGTCAGTTCTGAGAATGACTGAAACTGTAACTTAAGTCCAAAAAATGATTACAAACTAATCTGTCCCTGCTCTTGTTTTTTTGTTGTTGTGGGGCTTTTTTCCACGTCTTGTGAATGAACTCTTCACCAAATCAAAACAGTGTATCGGAACATGCTGTCACTCAGCCACACTTGGAAGACTCTTCGGGGAATTTAAGTAGGGCAAGAGGTGACGAGGTGAGTTTTCTTATTGTCCTTTACAGTTTGTGTTTTCACTGGATTCCGTATTTAATCCTGAGTATGTGGCATCCTCTCATTGTTCATAGATACTTAGAATGAGTTTTGGTTGATACAGTACCTACAGAATTACAGAACCATTGAGATTGGGAAGGACATCCGGAGACTGAGTTCAAACCCACTGCTCAAAGAAGGGTCAGCGAGAGCAGGTGGCTTAGGGCTGGGTCCAGTTGGGTTTTCAGTATCTCCAAGGATGGAGACTCCACAACCCCTGTGGACAACCTGTTCCTATGTCTGACCACCCTCATAGTGGCTTTTAAAACCACAAAAAAGTGTAAATGGAATTTCATGTATTTCAATTTGTTTCCATTGCCTCTTGTCCTTTCACTGGATACCGCTGATAGGATTTTTGCTAGACGTTCTTTGCTCCTCCTGTCCGGTATTTATATACACTGATGAGAGTTACACACACCCTGGAAAGCCATTCTGATCTCAAGGCCAAACAGCCCCAGCTCTCAGCTTCTCCTTGTACAACAGAGGTTCTGATGGGATGTCTTTTACAGCCTTTGTTTTGTGTTTTCTTTGTGTTGATTGTTGGACTCCAGCCAGTATGGTCTGACTTTAGGGAAATAACTTTGTAGTAAGTACATTCCAAACTTTCTGCATCAGATAAAAATAAAAATTTTAGAAAGGTGGTGATGAAGTTGTCTGGAGGATGGTGCAGCTAAGCATAATTTAATGATAACTTGTGTTATCTTCAGGCTGAAAAGCTAATTCTTGTGTTTAATATAATATCTGGTTTATAAATGGTGTTTATGAATTGGACTATTTTCAGTAGAAATGCAGCTTTGCTCCCCTTGCAAGTTTCACACAGATCAAATGTGTTTACACAGAAATAAACTGTAATATGGTGCTTTTGAGATGGACTGTTTAGAAGAACAAAAGCTGTCGGAAGCCTGGAGAGAGAATGAGACATGTTAATCTAATGTTAGAAGTACGAGAGAGTTGAAAAGAACTTTTTGACGTATACTGTTCCTTGACCCGGAGTAGACATTGTTTTACAAATCTGCAGTTTGAGTAGTTTAGCCAGCTGCTGCTACTTATTAATAATTTGGTGCAACGGTTTTGCATTAGTCTGCAGAACAGTCGTGTCCACTTTTAAATGTCCAGTTTTATGCTAAAGAACCTAACTTAACTGTTGTCCTACACAGGATGACAAATCAAAAAAGCAGTTCATTTGCATTAATACTCTAGAAGACACACAAGCTGTCAGAGCAGTAGCCTTTCATCCCAGTGGGAGTTTGTATGCTGTTGGCTCCAACTCCAAAACTTTGAGAGTGTGTGCCTATCCAGAAGTAATTGACCTAAGGTAAGAAAGCTTGCATAGTAATTTCTTTTTCTGTATCATAGCACTTTTCTCCTGTAGCTAATGATACATGTACATCTCATCCCTTTAGTTTGTTGTCGTAAATAGTGCAGTGCTTAGAAACCTGAGCTGCCAAACAAAAATAAGATGAGCTGATGAAGAATTTGTATGTTTGTGGGCTACGTTTTTGCTCTCTTCCATTACTGGCAAGATGCACTGCCACAATACCACACCTTTCTTGATAAAAGTGTTATTTTTATCTCAGCAGGTGGGCTTTTATGTGTTTACTGTGATAGCTTCTGGGTTTGATATTCCAGCCCTAAAAGTGGGAGACAGGATGTGTCTGTTCCGAAGCTAGCACAAGTTGGCCTTCATGAGAAGCAGTTTCTGGCAGGAGGACAGACTTGACAGTAGAAAAAGCAGTATCTTCAACTTTTACAGCAAGATTTGACAGAGCATGTCTGTTGGCCTGTTGTTACTATGACCGTAGTTTTCCTGACACTTCAGTTCCTTCACAGGACAAGCGCCATTTGTGGTTTGCTGTGCACCTGGTCTTTTTCTGTTTTCACCTGTTTTTGTGATAGGAAGGGGGAAATACTTTTTTTTCACCTGGAAATAAATATTGCCATCTCAGTAACCATCTCCTTGTCTCTGCTCCAGTTACGTGATTTTCTTGGAGTAGGGGGAAAGTCCAGGCATCTAAAACCTCACTGTTTCAGAAGGAGCTGCAAGTGTGCAGTGACTTTGTCTGGGACACCTTCCCAGTTTAGGGCTTGTGTTCAGGCAAAGTGTTCGAAGAGCAATTTCTTCTTTTTTTTTTTTTTCTTTTCCTCATTAAATATCATCAGTAAGGCAGCCTTTGAAGTTTAATTCTGAAGTATTTATTGGCAGAGTATGAAACAAGCCAACAAACTAGTTGATTTCTCCGACGCCCAGTGCAAGCCGGCTTGCTGGGCTTGAGGCCCAGACGGCCTCCTCTGGATTGGTAAACAGTGCAAAACACCTTCAGTGGAACAGACACCGTACTGACTAACTGCTCCCAGCCAACTTACCTTTCCCAAGGGTTAGTTAGACTGACTTTCTGGTCACAGTGCACGATCTGATATGACAAGTGACAGTGCATCTGGTTGTGAAAGGAATATTGAGATTTCCTTCATTCTCAACCTGTACTTCTTGCTGTGTTTTTTTTCACTGTGCTGACAGTCTGCCAAAACCATCCCATCGTGGGATTTACAAGTCAGCAGACAGATTATGTTATCTTAAAGGTATTTTAGTCTTTGTAACAACTCGAGTCTAGACACTCATTCAAAACATTTTGTGTTTTCCAAAAGCCAGTCGTGTCAGAGTATCAGTAGCAGTTCTGTAAGTGTACAGCAAGCTTTTGCTGGAAATCTTTCGAAGCTTTAAAATTCTCAAACTGACATATGGCTCGGGCCAGGTTGGGTTTGGTCCCTTTTCCCTTTCTCTAAAGGTGTAATAGTAGCGTGCTTTTTCCCATGTTTGAGATTAAGGGCTGATCGATACACGTCGCAGTCCTGCCGCTGTTGCTGACGCAGTCACCGCGCTTCCACGCAGCTGCCCAGCGCCCTGGGGTCTGCGTGCTGGGCAGGGGCTCCCGCGTCCTGACAAAGTCAGTGCGTCCAGCCACTGCCGCTGGGAGCTGCGACTCCAAACTGGGAATGTGATGTAAGGCATTAGGGCATTTAGGAAGCTACGTAGTGTGTGTTGAACGGTGATCTTGATTTAGGCTGATCTGTCATGGATCTCCGCTCTGGCAACAAAACAAAATTAGCTTCCACATAGATTTATTTTAGTATTCTTTACTAAAGCTGTGTTTATCTCAAAGTTTTTAAACAAGCGTAGATGCTTGTCTTCTGTGTTTTCTCTCTGCCTGTGTTCAAGGATTTACAGTATGGCTTCTGAATTTTTCAATAGCAATTTAATTGGTTGAGTTTCTGTTGTTGCTGCTGGAGTGAACGTTGATGGCATCGAACACAGCAGTGCTTCTTATTAAGCACTCGGCTGCTTCCTGCTGTGGGAGCAGAGAAGTAACACTAGGAAATTGGTCAGTTGAAACAGTAAATGTACGTCAGTGGGACTGTTCCTTTTATTTCAGCCACGTGTAAAGCTGATCTGATTTCAGAAATAGGAACTGATGATATGTGTAGATGCTGTGAAGATTCCTGCATTACCATAGGATGGTGAATGTGTCTCTTGCAGACTGCTGTATTGGCTTTTCTAGTGGATGAGTGAAGCTTTGAGAGTCCCTTTATTCAGCAAATAACATCAATGTGCAGCTCACAGTGAAGAACACGTATGAGTGTTTTCCTTTAGTTTTATTTTTTAATTCAACAGCCAAAGAGGAGATCGTACTTGACGTAGGGCAGCTTTTTTCTGTGTCTTCTCACGTAGGGTTAACACAGAAGCAGTTTTCATGATCCTTTAAGTGCTTGATGAGCCCCACTCATTCTGGCAGCAAGGATGGCATAGACAACATGGTTTTGGATAAGTTTTTATTGTTACGATACTCCTAGGCACAACAACAGCCCCAAACACAAGTATATATATGGAGCCCAGTGCTGTAATTATGCTGCCATACCAAACACAATCCAGAGCTAGGGATTGCATCTGGTGGGTAGGAAATGGGAAGAGAAACACCTTCCCGCACACATATGCAGAAGTTACACAGGCTTTCTGCTTTCTTCTTTCAGGAATCTGGATGTTCCAGTCTGCAGCAGCCTGCTAGTTTAGTCCCAGACCCAGCCTTTAGCTGTGCCAGCTGTACTGGATACTGCTAGAGATAGTGTGTGCCTCACGAGCTTTCTTAGCCTACTGTTGCTTAATCGAACTCAAGCATGTTCAGAAGTGGCCACAGGATCAAGGTGTTAAAGGATGAAGGATGTAGAGAAAAGAAATATCCCACCAATTTAAGACTCTGGGGATAAGGTTTCATTGTATGTAGCCAGTAATTACTGTATTTTATCTGTATCAACCCTTTAGGTGGAGGGGCTGTGCAAGTTCTTTTCACACGTCTGGTCACAAATACAATGAGAAGAACAGGGAAAACTGAGCAAATGGGATGAAGAAGAGCCTTCTGTTTTGTCTTAGATCACATGTTTCAGTGCAAACAGTCATACATACTTCATGTTACCTAAAATAATAGAAAAATAGTATTTTCATTTTAGAATACATTGTCTTCCTTAAAAGGAAATTGGATATTTTTCTTTTTTTTTTTTTTTTCAGTGCTTATAATACTCCTAAACAACCTGTAGTTCGCTTCAAAAGGAACAAGCATCATAAAGGTTCAATCTACTGTGTAGCCTGGAGTCCCTGCGGACAGCTGTTAGCTACTGGTTCTAATGATAAATATGTGAAAGTACTGCCTTTCAATGCAGAAACTTGTAACGCAACAGGTAGTGTACGTTTAAAGAACTTATTTTCAATTATTTGTCTCATGTTTGGCAAAACCATTCAACTTACACTGATTGTGTAGTTAATAGGTTTTGTTACTCTAATACTTCAATTAACTCAGCCTCTTCTCTCTTTCACTGTGATTGTAGTGTCTGTCCAGCAAAGAGACGCTGAGGGGTTGGGGATTATCTTTTGCATTTTGTTTGGTTTGGGTTTTGGTGGAGTGTTGTGGGTTTGGTTTTTTTAATTTTCGTTTTGTTTTGCAAGATTGTATGGTATTGTGGTGTCTTCTGGTAGATTCCACCCACCCACCCCCACCCCCCCAGATCATAGAATCACTAGGTTGGAAAAGACCTTAGAGATCATCCAGTCCAACCGTATCTGTCCACCACTAAACCATATCTCTCAGCACCTCATCCACCCGTCTCTTCAACACATCCAGGGATGGTGACTCCACCACCTCCCTGGGCAGCCTGTTCCAGTGTGTGATAACCCTTTCGGTGAAGAACTTCTTCCTTACATCCAATCCAAACCTCCCCTGGCACAGCTTGAGACCATTCCCCCTCGTCCGATCATCTGTCATTAGGGAGAAGAGACCAACACCCACTTCCCCACAACCTCCTTTCAGGGAGTTGTAGGCAGTGATCAGGTCTCCTCTCAGCCTCCTCTTCTCCAGGCTAAACAAGCCCAGTTCCCTCAGTCGCTCCTCATAAGACATATTCTCCAGACCCTTCACCAGTTTTGTGGCCCTTCTCTGGACACGCTCCAGGACCTCAATGTCTTTCTTGTAGTGAGGGGCCCCAAACTGAACACAGTACTCGAGGGGCGGCCTCACCAGATATGGTAAAACAACCAGATGTTCTTACCCAGCTCTGTTCTTGACTGTTAGTAGGAATATATTTCCACTTCCAGTTCTCCTTTTTCTTCCCTAGTTCTGTCATCTTTACCCCCATCTTAGAATTCTGTGGCTTCTGTCCCAGAAAATGCTATTTTCCATGCTTAACCCTCCTAATCAGTACCCTGAATATGGCTCCTATCTTTCTGTTCTGAGCTTAGGCCACCTTGTCCTAGGTGATTCAGTGTTCTCAACGATCCCTCCCTTCTGGCAGAGAAAGCCTGTTTGGTTTACCGTACTTCACAGAGAGAAATAAGTGTACTTTATAAACCTTGGCTGGAATTGGCCATGGTGATGGTCCGTGTACCTCGTGCAAAGCCTTAGGAACTGTAGGAAGCTGGTTAAGACTCTCAGGTTTTATTCAAACTCCAGTGACTGAGTGTTCTATGGAAACAACAGTGTTTATACTTGGTAGTGTGCCCTCCCTTGCCTAAAACGCTCTGTGTTAGCACTGTAGCTGCTTTAAGGATTACAGGACTAACAATAATAAACAAAGTGTGCCTCACGTTGTTCCTTGTGGTGGTGGGGGTTTTTTGTTTTGGTTTTCTTTTTCTAGGGCCGGATTTGGAGTTCAGCATGCACGATGGGACAATCAGAGACCTTGCTTTTATGGAAGGCCCAGAAAGTGGTGGTGCTATCTTAATAAGTGCTGGAGCAGGAGACTGTAATATTTACACAACAGATTGTCAGCGAGGACAAGGCCTGCATGCTCTTAGTGGTCACACTGGTATGTCTGCCGATGCTCCTCTCTCGCACTTTTTAAGGGTATTATATTCTAATAAAGCTGTTGGTTTGGGGTGTTTTAATGTCTTTCTGGTTTTGTTTCTGTCAAGACTTTTTTTCTCTTCAAACTGTTTTTGAGGTATTTGGGCAGGTTGTTTTTAAATATACTGGCTGTTAATGTAATGGAGAGAGTGCACGCTTCATCCCAGAGGAGATGCAAAGCTGGGCATTGCCTTACACTACTGACACTCCAGATCATGCACCATGCAGGTTTTCCGTAGACCTGTTAAATCTCTGGATGCAACAGTATCATCAGAACTGTAATATTTAATTATTTGATTAAAGATGTTGAATCAAATAAAGAAGTCCTTGTTCACAGGTCATATTTTAGCACTTTATACGTGGAGTGGCTGGATGATCGCATCTGGATCCCAAGACAAGACTGTAAGATTCTGGGATCTAAGAGTGCCAAGTTGTGTTCGTGTTGTGGGAACGACGTTTCATGGAACAGGTTAGACTTGTCGTCGTGCCCTGATTGTTCTTGCGTAAAAATGTATTTTAACGATGCCTAAGTAGCGTAGAGCATATATAAGGAACTTGTGCATTTTGGAAGGGGGGCTTGGCTTTAAAAGAAAAGTTGTGAGGGTATCTTTTACCTGTGTGTTGTTTTGGGGTTTTTTTGAAATTAACATTTCCTTCCAAAAGCTGGCTAGTCTTTTGCCTTGTGACTTTGAAACAGACGCTTGAAAGTAGATGAAAATGAAACAAGACACAAGGTAACTGTTTCCGAAGCAAAGGAAAGGGTAGGAAGGAGTAGACATTCAGCTTTAACAGTGGCTTTGCCACCATTCCTGTGGGATGGTTTCAGAGTTTTAACTGCGTGAACATTAAAAATTTCTTATATTAAGATAAGAATAGCGAGATATGTTCACCTTAAATTCAAAGCCAGCATTTAGTCTTTTTACAGAATATATATTCTTATGTAAAAAACCAAAGTTGTCTGTCAGCACAAACGTACATAAGTACAATGTGTGTCTGGATTTTTTCCCTGCTGTAGGAAGTGCTGTAGCCTCAGTAGCCGTTGATCCTAGCGGTCGTCTCCTGGCTACAGGGCAAGAGGACTCTAGCTGTATGTTGTATGATATTCGAGGGGGACGAATGGTGCAGAGCTATCACCCTCATTCCAGCGATGTTCGTTCTGTTCGCTTCTCCCCGGGGGCACACTACTTGCTCACAGGATCGTACGATATGAAAATCAAGGTGACGGACTTGCAAGGTAACGTGCTCCGAAGGGTACTAGGTTGACTGCTGTGCTTTTAATACCAGAGTTGACAGAGAACTTGGTTCAAAGACCAGGTTTTAGTTAAAAGGGGAAAACACAGAGCTCTGAAGGGTTTGAAATGTATATAAATGCCATAGTGTCTGTTCACAACTGGCTCGTTGTGTGGCTAAGGATGTAGGCTATGAACTGAAGCTCGGTGGGGGGGCGCTGGTTGTGATAGAAGAACTATGTAACACTGTTGCCCGAGATGGCTGTGGCTTTTGGGCAGCATTCATAAAATTGACCCTAAAAAAAAAAAAAAAAAGTCTGATAATAATGCTTATTTTCATTGGGAAGATATAAGAAGAGAGAAGATATTGGGTAGATCTAATCAACTTGATTTTCTTGGACCAGTAGCTTTTCATCACGTTGTTTAAAAAACTAAATACCAGTATTTTAAAATTGTACTGTGTCCAGGAACACCTGAAATGTAAAGCACTTGAGGCTTTGTGCTACACTCTGTGAGAGAGGCGTTAAGTGTGCTTCCTAAGGTGAAACACGCGTGTGAGCTTTGCTGAACAAAGCAAACACAAAGACCCACACGAACAACAACACGCATCCCAGAAAAACAAAGATCTGGGATACAAATTCAAGACCTGACTAACGATTTCTGTTTCTCTGCCACAGGGGACCTGACAAAACAGCTTCCTCTTATGGTGGTAGGCGAACACAAGGACAAAGTCATTCAGTGCAGATGGCACACACAAGATCTCTCCTTCTTGTCGTCGTCTGCGGACAGAACTGTAACCCTTTGGACCTACAACGGCTAGAGTGCAAACATGGGCAACCTATGCAGCTAAAGCACAGAGACCTGAGACTACGGAACTGTAAAAACAAAGTGATACTCGTTAGGCATCGAGCGAGCAGCGGGAGTGTCTTATCAAGAGGAGGGGGAGAGCGTCTTATCAAGAGGAGGGGCTCTTGCCACCGATTTTTCTGGTTTCTAGGAGTCTTGGTGTTTTTAGTATGTTCTTTTGCAGTGCTTTCAGTCTTCCATGTGAACTCATGCTGCTGTGACCTGTTGTAGTCTTGTTGCCAAAGTCTATGAGGAGAACTCTTCTGTTGTCAATGTGCACTCGGAGTAACATGAATGACGTGTTTACAGTTTGGTATTAATTGCATTCCTTGGTCTTTGCCTCGGTGAGAATTTGACGTAGAACCCTAAGTCGAACAACACTTTAATCGAGCCTGTGTGTAACTAGTTCCACGCAAGACAAATGACTTCCACTGGGTTTTCAGGTTTATTCTATTCATCACTTCTCAAGGAGAGGTCAGATTTTACAACACCTTCACAACTTTGACTTTTTTAGTAATGAATTCTGAACGTTGAGGGTAACTAGGCAGTAACCACACCTTCATTATGGCCCATTATACAGTGTGGGGGGGGTTTCTTTTCCCCCATCTAAACGGGGGGAGATGCTGCTGGGTTTACTGTGTGACATTGTTTTGAACAAGCTGACATGACGGAGGGGAGAAAAGTAAAATATTGATTTCTTTTTTTCTTTTTCTGTAAACCATAATATTTTACTTTTTGAATGCAACAGAATACCTCTGTGTGTCATGTACTGTAGAAAAGGGTGGGTTGGCAGCAGTTGTCACAGTGAGCTTAATGGCTACCAGTTTTTCAAGTAAAAGGGAAACCATTAATGCTGTAATAGAAACCAGCATGGCTTACAGTGCTATGTCTGCATGATAATTTAAGAATTAAATTGTTTAAATTCCCAGTTCAGGCAGGAGCCTACCTGAGTTTTATTTCTTGCACTGTTTATGTAGGGGAAATTGCAGTTTTATTTCTATGAAACTTTAGAGTCTAATGTTCACGTATTGTTATATTTTAATATTGTACAGTTTCTTTTACTTTTTAAAATATAAACCTTAAACATTAGGTTACTTATTTATTTGAACTGCAGTTAAAGTTCTGGATTCTTTTGGTCACTAAATTATATGTGCACTGTAGCAAGCATTTTTAACTATCGTATAGAAGTGGAAGGGTATCTGTAGAAGTGTATCTGTGCTATAATCTCAATAAAGACCTCCAACACCTGCAGCTGTCTCATCTGGTACTTTGGATTCTCTGGTTTTACCCCACAGTGCAGCTCTGGCGCTTCGCTGTATGCCAGGAATCTGTCGTGTGCCTAGAACCGTGCAGGACTCCGGCTCTTGGACGTCTCTCCCAGTGTCTGACGGTGCAGTAAGTGCAGTCGCGCAGAGCTGAAAACACGTTTATTTTTCTGTGCGGGCCTCGGAGGTTGAGGTCCTAATGCCGCTTTGGAGGGAAGCGTGACGTCGACCTCCCCCTGGCTGGGGGTGCTGAGGGCTGGCCGTGATCAGCACCGCACCTGCTTC